CTCCCCATGTGCGCTGACCGGCCGTGAAAATACCATACACCATGTAGAGCCAGTTGAAAAAGGGATTCACAATGAACATCAGGGGATAGAGCCAAGCTTTGAAGCGCTTGAGCTTCAGCCCAAAATACAGCATCAGCAGGTAGTTCAGACCTAGAGAGATCGCGATGAATCCTACGGGAAGATTCTCGATCTTGCTAGATGTAGTGATGAGTGACACAACCAGGATTAAAAACAGCAAAGCGGTCGTCCGGATTGTATTCTGCATAAAGCGTACCAAGCAGAGAAGCGGATATCGCCTCCAGAGTCTGGCATCGGTTAGCATGCACACTTCGTTGGTGATGAAGCCAAGAAACCAGCGGCGTCGTTGCTTCAGGAGGCTACTGAAAGTCTGAACAGCTTCAGTTTTGCAAAAGGCACCGGTACACATCTGGATCTGATAGCGCTCGGCGGCCCCGATCATGAAAAGGTGCGTCAGCCATCGATCTTCGCCGAGATGGCATTTGCCGTAGTCGAAGAGATCCTCGCATTGCTCAGCCTTGTCCGCAAAATAGTACTTGGCCATCTTGCGAAAAGCTGAGAACCTCAGAATCGTTAGCGCCCCTGGAAGGCAGGTAACAGCACCACATCCAGACTCAACCGAGCGCTCGAAGAGTTGACCGTGGACATACTCCATGTCCTGCAAGACTGTAATGAGAGAGTTCTTCGCTGTTGTTGACGTGAGGATACCAGTCATTGCCAGCATGTTATGCTTGCTTCCTGGTTTCAACTCCATGTCGTACATGAAATTTTGTAGGCACAGCTTGTCAACAATACAGTCAGAATCGATGAACAGAAGGAAGAGGTCGTCGTGGCGCCTGAGGTAATCAGCGTACACCTTGTCGATCAGCCTAAAAGTTTGCTTTTGGCAATGTCGTTTACCGCCATGCTTGAAGCGGGACACCGTTATCCTTGCGCCTTTGTATGTCACATCGATGCTCTGCGGGTAGGTCTCCAAAGAGATTGGAATGCCGAGATGCTGGATAACCTGAAGATAAGACTCATCAATCTGGCCTCCGTCGTAAGAGAGAAACACATGAATACAATATGCTGGATAATCACTGGACACGACTGAGTCGATCGCCTTGATTAGTATGTGTGGTTCTTCCTTAAAAACCGGCATGACTATGACCGTCTTGGGTGCAGTGCGATCATCCAATGCTTGTTTCACTCGCTTGGTTCTTCCCAGAGAATTTATGATGAGCTGGTTAACGCAAAATAGCCAGGGTATCACGAGAAGGACGGAGAAGGTCCAGAACGCGAACCATTGTAGAACGGAGGTCAATCTCGTTGGAAAATAGCGAGTTATCTGTGTCGGCAAGGGAAGAATGGCGATCATGACTGGAAAGAACATTCCCCTGGACGCATGGCCAATTAGATGATGCTAGAAATGATCTCAGCGTGAATGAACTCACCTGAGAAATGTGAAAAGTAGAATCATAACGACTGCCAGGACTTTGATGCTCCAGTGGTCTGCTTTCTGATAGACTTTGACGAGGCAGTATATGAAGGCTGCAAGAAATAATATCCATTCCAATAGCGCAGCAACCAGTAAAGGCCCTAGTACCGAAACATAGACAATCTATAGGCTTTGTTAGCCTAGGCTATCCTATCGGAGCACGAAGGTATCAAAGTACATCTTCTTTCGGCCATCGCTCGAGGTTCGCAAATTGTCCTTGCATCGTCATATTGATGTAAAGAGTCCAAGGCGACTGTCAACTAGCAATCGGGCAGATGAACGTAGGACTTCAGGTAAGAAGAGATATACTGTGAAGAGCACTGTGAATAATGTTCATTGTCTGAGCAAGCTCTATGCCACCGTCGCAAAGGTTACGGCAAAAGCCCGATCTTGTATAAGATGCAGCGATGCTGATACTAGCCGAAGAGCTGAGGCCGAATAGATTGGCATGAGGAGCATTGATGAAGATGACGCCTGACCATAACTGCATTCATGTACTCAACAGCTCAGAAGGTCCCCGCAAAACCCGAGTAGTCACGACAACATGCAGAAAAGGCAGGTGCATCTACTGCCGGAAGGAAAGTAGGACATGTTGAAATATTCCTCGACCAGGGCAGTGAACTGTGAGCCCAGACGAACAACTCTTTCTGTTTCCAACTCCTTTGTGAGGTCAATTATGGGGTGGAGCTAATAGTTGTATTTGCAAACCATTGTTTCGAAATACGATGGGAACCAAGTAGCCGTAACATACCCGGGCTATACGTCGTTCGGCTAGTGAGGACATCGACAAGTGTATGTACTTCATCAATCGAGCAAGCAGCACCAGTCGCCATTGTCAAGGCATTGCGTGAGAGAAGAAAGGGCCCAAAGAAAGCAGTTGCTTTCTTGCGCCATCGAGTTTGTTAATGTTGCTTTGAGGAGAGCTCAGATTCTTCATCAATTGATATTCAGATGCTGAGGCTGATTTGAGCAACATGTGGCAGGATAAGCTCATTGGATTGACGTCTGATGAGCATTGATTCGTTAGGCATTCTGATCACTACCTTGATGTTTCTATTCCAAAGTATGATGGTCGTACTCATACTATAATAAGTAGAAGATGGACACAGCCGGACCATTGGTGACTTAGGTGCAGTGCAGGTGCAGTGCATAGATTCAATATCCCAAAGTGGTTAGTTGCACTCGCTCCCGAGTCAACCATGCGCCACAGTATTCTGCCTGAGGCATAAAGAGACTTGGCAAATGTGGCGCCAGCTCCGCGGGCGGTCAGAAAATTTCCCCCGCCGCCGCGCATTGGCCTGGGAAATTTCCCTCTTTGCAGCTGAGGCAGAAACTCCCTTTCTTTCCTCCAGTCTTTTTTTATTTTTTTAGAAGAGTCAAAAAGTCTTCTGGTTCTGGACAGATTTTCGTTCTGCTCACAAACTTCCTGCATCTCGTGCAACTGAATTACTCACAGGTGAGCATTCACTCCTACTCGATCCATTTTGCCTCCCATTCTTGCTGCACGCGGACATCCGATCATTATTGGCCAGGCGAATCCGTATCGCGGCTGCTCCCCCCGGCGAGAGATTTCGATTTTATTGATGCTCGCTTACCCTACCCATCCCCGCGCATTCTTGATAAATACTAATTATCGGGTACGCGGTTACTGATATCTTCGCAATTGCAGGAGGTGCATCCTTACCTTTATCTTACCGAACTTCTCACACACCTCATATCCATAATATCACAACATGTCTGACGAACAAAAGCCCGTCGCCCAGCCCAATGCTGAGGCTGAGAAGGATGTCCAGAATGTTCTGGCCGAGTTGAAGGGTGAGAGCACCGAGGCCGCCACTCCTGCTGCTGCCGTCGAGGAGACGAAGCAGACCGACGAGGCTGCCGAGGAGGCCCGTATCGTAGAGGCGGCCGCCAAGCTGGGCGAGAAGTCCGCCCAGGCTGAGGAGCAAAAGCAGGAGACCAAGAAGCAAGAGCAGCAGCAGCAGCAGGGTCGCGGAGGCCGCACCAACTACCGCAACAACGTCAAGTTCGACCCCTCCAGCCAGGAGGTGACCAGCGACCCCGTCCAGATTCGCAAGCAGGTCGAATTCTACTTCTCCGACTCCAACCTCCCCATGGACAAGTTCCTGCTCTCCAAGGTCGGTGGTAGCAGCAACCGGCCCGTCTCCCTCGAGCTTCTCCACTCCTTCAAGCGCATGCGCCGCTTCCAGCCTTTCAGCGCCATCGTCGAGGCCATCAAGACGTCCGAGACCGTCGAGCTCACCGACAACGACACCTGCGTGCGCCGCAAGACCCCCTTGCCGGAGACCGTGACCGAGAATCACAACCCCACCGTGGTCCGCGTGTTCGAGGACAAGGCCATGAGCCGCAGCGTCTACGCCAAGGGCTTCGGCGAGGAGGGCCCCACCACTCAGCTCGAGATCGAGGAGTTCTTCGCCCCCTACGGCCCCGTTAACGCCATCCGTCTCCGTCGCTCCTACGACAAGACCTTCAAGGGCAGCGTCTTCGTCGAGTTCGAGTCCGAGGAGAAGCAGCAGGCCTTCCTCGCCCTGGACCCCAAGCCCAAGTGGAAGGAACAGGACCTGCTCATCAAGAGCAAGAAGGACTACTGCGAGGAGAAGGCCCGCGAGATCGAGGCCGGCCGCATCAAGCCCAGCGGCGGCCGGGGACGTGGTGGTCACCACCGTGGTGGCCGTGGCCGCGGCGGCAACCGTGGCGGTCGCGGCGACAACAAGCGCGGCGACTGGAGGGATCGTCGCGCCGCTGACCAGAAGAACGGATTCAGCGACAAGAAGGAGGAGCCCAAGGAGGAGCGTAAGGAGATCCAGAAAGACGCCCGGTAAGTTCCTGTCTACATCCTTGCATATTCTCAAGAAAAAAGTGACCACAATTTCTAACACTCTCCTCTCCAGGGGCGTCCCCGTTGTCCAGAGCACTACCGACGAGTCCGCCGGCCAGAAGCGCGCCCGTGAGGAGGACGGTGCCAATGGCGACCACCCCTCCAAGAAGGTGGATGCCAAGCAGGAGTAAAGACCTGCAGCAAGGAAAAAAAAAGAGAGAAAAGAAAGAGACTTCGATACCAGTATTTTGTCTTTTTCATGAAAGAGTGTGTGTGGGATGGCATCACGAGAGAAAAAAAAGCATGGCCTGGGCTCGATTTCCTTTGACTTTTAAAAGAAGACCATACTATAATGGCGTTGTATAGTTACCCCCTATTTTGTTATCATTTAGCTTTTCTTCCAAATGGACTTGGGTTCCAAAGCATTTATGTCCGTGTCCGTATATCCAGTGGCTGTGCGTTCTTTGGTAGAAGTCTGACAGCTGTGGTATTCCAATTCGATCCAAAATCCGCTGGATGTAGAGGTTTGTGTGTATATACAATTGGCTGTTGTCCTTTGTTTCTGTTTGCAGCTTCCCTCCAACTGATGTCAGGTTGACTATATAGGTATGTGTGGGCTTGTTCAAAAACGCTACGACGGACGAGTGAAAGGTGAAGCCACTCCCCTTATTTCTTCTTCTTGGTCTTATCGACGACATCGATCCATTGCGAGCGCAGTCCGCGCCGGGATAGTGCCTCCTCCAGCGCCCGTCGCTGATCACCCTGGATCAAGACCTCCATGACGCCCTTAGCTGCGCCCGTGGCCTGGGCGACACTGGTGCTGCTGGCGCATTTCTTCTGCAGCTCCTCGGCCAGCAGGCTGGGGATGATGCCGAAGACCTCCAGGCCTGAGACCTTGGTGACGGTCTTGGAGCCGGTGCGGCGCTCGAGGGTGATGGTGGCCTTGGGGGCGGCGCCGGCCTTGGGCTTGACGCCACCGGCCAGCGTCTGGCCCGGTTTCAGGATCACGTAGTGGGCCGTCAGGAGGGCGTGGTCGTCGACGAGGCGTTTCAGGAGGGCGTCGCGGGTGGACTTGCCGCGGGCGAGGGTGCTGCGGTCGTCTGACGAGCCCGAAGCAAAAACGGTGGTGGCGAGGAAGGGGTTGAGGTTGACGATGCGTTTGTTGTGGGGGTCGATCAGCGGCGGGCTCTGCGACTGCAGGTACTGGTCCAGGTGGGCGGAGACGTCGGCGTACTTGTAGTAGTTGCTGGGGTGTGTGCTGGACAGCGCCGGGAAGATGGTCGGCGCCAGCTTGCCCGTCGGTCGGTACAGGGTCTGCACGGTAAGCGTCTGGCCCACAGAGGGGTCGCTGTCGGAGGAGGCGATGGCTTTGCTGCTGGTCGGGGCGGCGCCGGCTTTGTTGCCGGCGGCGTTGTTCTCGGCGGCATTCTTGGAGGGCAGTCGGTAGGGGACGAACTGCTCGACCCGGCGATCGTTGAAGTCGACGTCTAGAATCACGGTTTCCTGGCCGTTGCGGTCCTTGGATTTGACCAGGCGCTGCTTGTCGAGGTATTTGATGAACTTTTTCACATTCTTCCAGCTCGTTTTCTTGATCTGGTAGAATTGAGCCTGTCGGGGGGTGTGAATGGGAAGGTAGGGCGTGATCATGTTCGACACCAGCGCGGACGGCTGGACTGGTAAGGACAAGCCGTGGTTGGGCGCTGAAGGGTTATCTTGTTTGAGCTTGTATAACGAGTAAAGGAAGGCCTTCTCGAAGGCTTCGTCAATCTCTGTGCAATGTTAGCTGAAGGCACAAAATGTTGTCGGAAGAAATAGCAAGGCTCTCTAACCTTTGGTCGATGGCTCTTTCTCCTCCACGACAGGCTCTTCCTCGACCGGTTGTGGTGCTTCAGCAAAAGCCTCGTCGTCTCCTGCAGCCTGAGCAGGAGCCTGCTCATCCAATTGAAGATCATTCACTGCTCTCTCAATCTCCTTCGTCTCGCCGCTGTCCTCCTCTTCGACGTCGTCCCACCCTTCCAAGTATTCGGGAGCCGGTTGACCAGGCTTGGACGACGAACTCCAAGCCCAGAGCTCGTCACCCTCCCAGTGAAGTCCACGGACAGCATGACCCTTAGCGCCCTGCACTTCTCCCAGCGCCGAAACATCGATCTCACAGACTCCTACGAACCGCGGCACGGTATACCTGTCCAGATCCGCCACGGCGACGACCGCACCTTTAACCGCACGCTCGTCGAACGGCGGCTCGTTCGCGATGCCCGGAGTCATCAGATCCGCACCTCCCTGGAGCTTCTGCATGACCATGCCCGGAGTGTGAAGCAGAGGTACTAAGTCTGCATTGTGCCATAGTGTGTAGACTGTCGGGTAGAGGCGCCCGTCGGCGCCGGGGCCGTGGTCGACCTTAAACCACAGGACGCGCTCGTCGCCTCCGGGATGCGTCCCCACGTAGACGGTACCCTGAACCTCGCGGAGCTGCGGTCCGGCCGTCGTCGTGAAGCGCGCGGACAGGCAGTTGTCGGGGAGAAGCGCATTCCGGATCGAGGTGAGGTTTGGTGCCGTCGGGTTGGATGCGCTGCTGGGGGCAGCCGGATCGTCACCGCTGGGCTCGGTGGGCGCACTCGATGAGGGGATCTCGATCTTGTAATCAGCGATAATCTGGTCGGCGATCTTCCTTCGATCAGAAGAGCGCAAAGGCGCAAGGTTCTTGATCTGTCGTCATCAAAAATGTGGTCAGTGATGAAATTTCAGTAACCGGCTCGGAGACTCGACAGTGCGGGGGAGGGGTAAGTTACGGTGGGCTTCTTCTTGAACATGATGGCGGAAAAGAAAAAGATAAGAAGGGAATATTATATGTGCCAATGTAGTAGATCAACGCCCTCCAACCATTCCAAGATCAAAGGCGCGCAAAAGGAAAAAAAGCTATGTTATCCAGAAGGAAGAATGGATGGGCTTGTGATGGAGGGGAATGTGATGGATGGGTCTGGGTCTGACAGCCGCAACAACAATCGGCCGCTTTTCCCCGCCTTCGATTTGATCATTGCGATTCGCGAGGTACAGTACGTAACATAAAACAAACAAAACATAGTCATCCTGGCCATCCCATTAACAAGCTTGACATGATGTAAAGAGACATCTCCCACTACCCTGCATAGCCATGCTCCCGTATAACTCCATACAGCCTCTGGCGAAACAACAAGCAGTGCTAAAATATTCTCATCAGGATTCCTCGCACAATACAGACCCCAAGTATAAAGGGCGTCGGAACATACCCCAGTACGGCAAAATGCAGTCCACCTTCCTGTAGAGCCTGCTACTTTTTCTGCTTCTGTTTCTTCTCCCACTCTTCCTGGTCCATATCTCTCAAGCCTTGCATGATCTGCTTGGCCTCCGCGAGGTCTTCCGGGGTGTAAATTTTCAGGCCGTAGGAGAGCCCAAACTCCCGGAGACCGCTATAGCCGGAGTCCTTGAGCCACTTGGATTGACTCATCTGGTTGGGTTCGATGTCGCCGTCGGCGGGTTTAGTCCTCTGTGCAGGAGGCATATTGGAGAAGAGTTGTTCGGAGAGGCGGATGTTAGGCGAGAGAATCAATCAAATGTATGTGGCTAGTTGAGGTGCGTAACGGAGAAGTGAAGGCAAGTGAACTGAACAACCTGATGGCGGAGTTGTTAGTGTAGTGACCCCCGCGTTGACGGTCCTGGTCGGGCAAGGAACCATCGACATCATCTTTTTCTCATTCACTCTGCCAGGTGCACGGTGGCTGCTTCCACTTTGAGCATGCGGAATGAAAGTCCGGGTATAGATACAGAGCCAGATTCAATTGTTCTATCCGTCTAAGGATCTCCTGCAGTCGCAATTGTAGCAAGTCTGGAGTTTCTACTATGTGAAAATGAATCTTGTCCTACCGCTACCTCAGGAAAAATTGGATTGGATAAACCAGTGCTTCTGAATTGATTTTATAGATACATAACAGGATGCCCGACCCGTAATGAATAGAATAATCACAGTAAAATGAAAAAGCACAATGGCTATTTATATAGAAGATTGGAAAAGAAGCGTGATCGATCTAGAGTTCACCCCAGAGCATAGCGCTTAGGCGGAGAGGTCACGGGCGTGCTTCTTCTCGCTGACCAACCAGGTGAAAGTCTGCTTGAGAACGCTGAGGAACTGATCAGCGCTCAGGGACTCGAAGTAGCTGGTGAGGCTGGTGCTGGTGGATACGGAAGCACTGGAGCTGCTGGAGGCAGAGCTGGAGCTGCTGGGAGTGGCAACGTAGGTCTGCTGGGGAGCGCTACCGGTGACGGTGACTTGCGCAACCTCAGTGGAGGTCTGGTAGGCAGTGGCAGTATCAGTCTCAACAGCGGTAGCAGTCTGAGTAACGACGGAGCCAGCAGCAGAGGTGACGGAAGAAGCAGCGCTGGTAGCGGCGGCGGCGGCGGCAGTAGTGCTGGAGCTGCTGGAGCTGCTGGAGGCGGCGGCGGAGCTGGAAGAGCCGGAGCTGGAGCTGGAGCTGGAGCTGGAGCTGGAGCTGGAGGAGCTGGAGGAGCTGGAGGTAGCGTTGTACATAGCAGGTCCGGGAATATCGTAGGAGGAAAGAGACTGGTAGATGTTGACGAGGATACCAGCATCGGTGTCCTTGTACAGGCTCTCACCAGCAGTGCCAGAAGGAGCGAGATCACCGCCGCCAGTGACCTTCAAGTTGAGGCACTGAGGGTAGTTCTGAGCACCATCCTTGTTACCAGCAGAGTGAAGGGCAATGATTTCGTGACGGAGGACGTAGTTGCCAGCCGCAATGTCAGAGGGGATGGTCACAGTCCAGCTGTTGTTGTTGGCGATCAAGTTATCACTGGCCCAGGTACCGGGGACGTCGTCGTCGTTGATGAGACCGCTCTCGTCAATCTTGAAAAACTCGAGGTCGGTCTTGGTGACGCTGCTGCAGTCACCATTGCAGTTGGCAAGGTAGGTCAGGACAGGGCCGTGGTGGCTGTCGGGCCAGGTAGTCCACTGGAGCTCAACAGTACCACCGGCCTTGACCTCAGCAGAGATGGCACCGGGCTTGGCACTCTTGTGGCAAATGATGTCGGCATCAGCATACTCGCTACCATCGACGAAACCCAAGTCGGTCGCCTCGGTAGACCATCCAATGGTCTCCGGGGGATCGCTGGAATAGGGGTAGGAAGTGACAATGTAGCCGCCATAGTAGGTTCCGTCGACAACAGCACCCGACACGTAACCGTGGCCAGCGACGAGAGCGGCCGAACCGAGGATAACACCAGCAAACTTAGCAACAGACATTTTTCGATCGACGCACAGCGTGAAAGTTTTTGAAAAGGATGGTTTGGAAAGAGTGACAAAGGCGGTCTTCAATCAATGAAGCCTGGAATGAAAAAAAGTAAGAGAATGGAAGGTTCGGAGACCCAAGTAAAGAAAGGAATGAGAAGCTTGGTGAGAAGAATGAAGAAGCCCCCAAAGTCGTGGTTTGACGCCTTCTTATATCTTCTTCGATTCTCTATCTCATCGAGGCTTGGCCAGAGCTCAGACCGGATAACCCCCGAGGCCAAAAAGATGAAAGGTTCATTGCAGCCGGCCATGCTACACGTAGATTGCCTTGGCACCTGTCAAGTTTCCACATCCTGTGCGGTTGTCGGATGCTGAATACTGACTGAGATAGGGTCGCCGCAGCAAGGCGAGTCTGAGATTGATGAAAGCCAGGCACCGGGCCACTAAGCGTCGACACGGCGGTGGGGTTCCAGCGTCAACGGTCGAGACATTCTCAGGGACAAACACTACTTTCGACTTAGCGCTACTCGGAGAAGAGAGTCGGAATGATACCAGAACGACCCCGATGGATATTAACTACTTACCTTAGCGGGCGAGTGGAGCTGCAAGCGCCGGTGCTCTGGCGGCAAGTCTGCGACAGAGCAAGTTTCAACGGGGAGCCAAGCTGCTCCAGGTCCGCCCTGCCAAGAAATGCCATTTCTAAAGAGTCGCAGAATGTGTGGACCAACCGGGTATTGAACCGTCTAAGCAAGGAAGCTCCGACTTCAAACAAAGTTGTATGAAAGCTTTAGAGTATGAAGCAGGCAGGCGGGCGGGTTGGTGATGATGGTGATGGTGATGGTGATGGTGTGCTGACTGCTGAATCCTCTCACATGGAAGCTCTGAAGCTACACTACAACTTTGGAAACCACGTGCCACGCTGCCCTACCGACCGATACTCTTAAGGAAACTTGTACCAATCACGACTTTACAACACTCTCCCCTTATGACTTTAGATCAAGAATCTCTCAAACACCAATCAGCCTTCATTCTATCTTCACAAACTTACACAGTACTTCTTACTGGATTAACGGTGGACGGACCATGAATGAAGGCTCATGGCTCAATGGGCAGAGTACTTCGTACAGTCTAGGTTCATCCTCGGCATGTGAGCCGGCGCATCCACCTTCCCGACTAAATGGCACCATCTAGTCACATACTAATTAATTAAAGGCGCGCGATTCATCAGGTAAGTAGAGATCGAGACTTTCAATGGAAATTGCAAGGAGGACTATTGGACGCTGCCTTGGCATTAGAATCTCCTCCATATAAGACTGTATCCCGATCCCTGCGTCCCCATGTTTCTCAAAGAAGCTGGAGGCTGGAATCTCAGGTCTTCTCGGATATGTTCCGCGCCTGTGCTTCTTGCCATGCAACTTCCAGCCTCACCTCTAAAGAAAGTATTATCTAAATGCTTGGGTTGTAAACTTGGGTATGAGGATAACAGCTCAGGGTCTACGGCTTAATGCAGGGTCATGCGGCATGCACGGGTTGGTAGCAGCTCGAAACGTCTGATATACAGAGTAACCCACCCCTACCATGCTACTGTCGTGGGTCCGATCAGTGCCTTACCCATCCTTCTCGTTTGCATCTTCCTAGTGGACCTGAAGATGCATACTTGAAACACTTTTCGGGCGAGACATCGACAAGTTGCTTGGCTGTTGTGCTCTGTAGTCTTCATTTCGGCCGACCAAGCTTTTTCTGAACGACGTGAGGATGCTTGTTTCTTCCTGGAAGGCTGAATGTCTCATTCGCACAGTTTACCAAGGAGAACAACTGAGGTAGTCAAGTTGATCCAGCCGCGAGCTCTCTCCCTACATTGACCCTGAATCCACAGGATTCTTAAGCGCCGGACATCGCACAGAGGGAAATTAAAAATGTTTTGCTCACCCTCTTTTGACGACTTTTTGAGCTGCATATGAGCAGGAACTGCAGACTTTTCGTACGACTATCACTTCTTTGTTCTGATCATGGTTTACAATTGTATCAGGTTACTCTGCATCTACCATGTGGTCATGCGCTCTCCATTTGTGACACTCAAGAAAGCCGGAGTAGGGTGAGACGGTATGGACGTTCTACATATGCCCCTGCAGCTTGAGATCTTGTACACCGCAGGGCCGGCTTATGACGCATGATAACCATTGGCTCTACAGATAGAGGGTACGCTCCTAGCTTTCAGTGTAAGGAGGTCGTGGAATAGACTAATGCACGCTATGTTGCCGCAACACCATTGTCCAGGCAGAGGGTGCTCTCAATCACAGTTTATAGTCGCGGGTTTCGTATTGTTTTGCCCCATCTGGAAACAAGAATCTATCTCAACAACATGTCTCTACACAGTGGAGGAAATACTTCTGAGCCCTCAAAAAAGGCATGACACTTATCATTGGCTGCCTGGTTGGTATAATATAGTTTCATCAAGACATCCACTTTATCAAGCAACGACTAGTACCTCTAGCGCTAACCGAAGGCAATATAGGATCCTCGAATCTCAACCCCAGTACTATATTACTATGCAGCGCGAGGGACTTCTGGAGAAAATGTACAAAGGAATTGGTAGAGGAGGTTACTGCCAGATGTTTACTATTTTCTCACCACGGACCTACTAGGTAACCTGACAAGCAGACTGGTTCTAGAACCCGACCACTGCAGCCTGACTATCCTACCACGTTCACGACAGCGATAGGCGCCGCCCGTCTGGGGCTGAACTTAGGTGCAGATGGCACCGGTTGGTGAGGGGCTTTCCGGGGATATGAGCTACTTATGCGTCATGATAACAATAGACGCTCTATGATTAGCTGCACAGGGTCCCTACAAGACCTGGCTTGCCCTGCGATTGTCCTCATCTTATCATCCCCGCACGACGCAATCTAGCCCGGTAAATGTCAGGGGGATTGGCACACCGTCTGGCCTAAAGCGTTTTCGCTCGTTTGCACTCTTTTTTTTGGGGGCTGCGTAAGCAATTTCGATGTCTGACAGGCGATGGCGCAGTTCATTGATTCGTTAGAAGTATCTTACTCACAATTTACACCATCGAATCCAATTTGATGAGACAGAGCTGGAAAATTTCTTTCTTTTTAATCGGTCAATGTCTCCTACTACTCTCATTGCAAGAATGCTATCCTGGACTGGGACTTCGACCAGATTGGTGATAAGTGCGCAAAGCGCCGATCGTGAGGTCACTTGTGTAGTACAAGCTCCTTTACCCGGTAAAGAATCAGAGCTGTGAAGTGGTTTGAACCTGAGCCCTACTACGTAGTAGTAAGCCAGTGATGGACCACTATCTCGGGAACATGTCATCTTGCAACCTGAAATGCACTAACTTTGCATGGACTGTCCGTTTCACACCGGGAAGGGATTGCGGGATGGATGGATGATCTCGGTGAGCACACCCTCCATTATTGTTTACTCCACCTCCATGTCAGATTGGCAGGCTTGGAACTTCTTGATCACTTACATACTCTTTTGAGCAGAGGATACTAGGTACCTATGTGCTAATGAACAGTGCTTGGACCGACACTGATAGAATGGGTAGAAGTACAGTCAAGCTTAGGCACTTCCGGAGCCCTTCAACTTCATGAACTAAGTTATGGTACACCGCGCATGGTTGAATCCGTTTTGGCTGGCGAGAATTATTACCTACCCTCCCTTCCGCCCAATGAGAACTCGGCGACCTAGTTACTCCGGTTCCTGGCTGTTCAATTACTTGATTAGGATTAGTGTAAGATTGCCAGTCTCACCGCCAAGTTATGAAAGGGTTGATGAGTGGCAGTGGCACTGAACAGAACTCACTCGATAACCACGGACTCTGGCAGGCAGAAAGTAGTAGACAATTCATATCACGCCTCCTCTCTCCCATTTCCTTCTCTTACCGTACCTACACATCCACACCCACATCTCACTCTCACCCTCCCCCTCCCCCCCCCCCTTCCTCCCACAGTCTCCAGGTTTGGCTTATCTACGGGGCCTTCCGTGGTCGATCACTATTCTTGTTAGCCTCTTCTCTTAATTACTTAATTACCTGTCACTTCTTGCGACCCATCTTGGGCACGACTGTCTCCCAAACCTTTTCATCTCGCTAACTCCGACCGTCGCTCTGATTTTCCTCCCCTTTCCCGCGGCCGCGCCTCCGCCTCCGCTCTCCCCCCCTACTACGACAATTGCCTTTAATCGCTCAAGCCGTCTCTACCTTCACAGAGTCATACGCTTCCTCCTTCCTCTGGTTGGCCAGAACCTTCAAGTCCTACAGCAAGTCTTTTAGTCGCCCAGCCTGGTCTCTACTACGGATGCATTCGTGATACCGCTCGTTCGTCGACAATAATTGAGTGCGCCCGCCTACTGCGGCTCCAGTTTAGCCCCAGTCACTCCTTGACAATTCTACGCTCTTGGTTCCATTCAGCGTTGGACTAGGGCGTCAAGTCAAGGCTTAGCCTGGAAGCAGCCTGCGAGGCTTGTTAAGGAGGATCATCGGCGTTTCCCTCCTGGTCACCTGCGGGCTATTGTGAAGATCGAAGGATGGGATCGGCAGAGGCTGTCTCTTCACCTGCTTTCCCTTTTCTGGAACCTGTCGTAGTCGACGACGAAATGGGTAATCCCTATCAAGACACAGATATGGACTTCTTGGACTCTGCAAGGTTACAGGTTTCGTCCGAAGGCGCGGGCAGGGATTTCGATGACCTCTTCTCTCACGCTCCTTCCACCCGCCAGAGCCGCGACTCGGAGCCAACATGCTTGTCGCCATCTGAACTATCGCTGAAACACTCTTATCAAGAACAAGATGCAATGCGACAATTCAACGTGGTCTCCGCCGAATCCCCCGCCGAGTCTCCGGATGGCTCAACACCAAGTTCGTCTTCTGAGTCACCACGCAATCATCTTCGGAATCCGTCCGTAACGTCTTCTGCATCGGCAGTACATAGCGAAAACACGATAATGCCCTTTGGCTACGCAACGGAGGATTGGATGAACCCGGATCTCGC